TGTATCATACACTGTGTGTATATATGTATCATACACTGTGTGTATGTGTGTATCATACACTGTGTGTATGTGTGTGCCTTACACTACTGATGGCTAGGTTTTCTTTCCAAAAGCAAAAGTAGTTAGAGGGTAGCACGTGACATCTGTGTTTGTATGAGTTTGTCAATTTCTGGGTTTGTATGTGACACCATAACAACAAATGTACATGGTAGTATTAACATTTAGCAAGAAAGAATATAATATTACAGGAATACTTTGGTTTCCTGGAACATAATAACTATAGGAGGAACATAAAATCTTCAGCTTAATTNGTATGTGTGTGCCTTACACTACTGATGGCTAGGTTTTCTTTCCAAAGGCAAAAGTAGTTAGAGGGTAGCACGTGACATTTGTGTTTGTATGAGTTTGTCAATTTCCGGGTTTGTATGTGACACCATAACAACAAATGTACATGGTAGTATTAACATTTAGCAAGAAAGAATATAATATTACAGGAATACTTTGGTTTCCTAGAACATAATAACTATAGGAGGAACATAAAATCTTCAGCTTAATATGTATCTGTCTATACATAAAATACTGCTGTCTAAAACAGTTTAAATGAATCTGATTTCATAAATAAACCTTGCTACTTTTAATCAATGACTCACCCGATGCTTTGTGTGGCGCTATGGCTGCTGACGTTGCTGACTGTGCGGCCGTAGTTATCTGCGCTTTGGTAGTAGTTACTTGGTTAGAGATAGTTGTGGTGACAACTGGTTTTACTGTTGTGGTTGGCTGTGTTGTAACAGGAACTGTGGTTGGCTGTGTTGTAACAGGAACTGTGGTTGGTTGTGTAGTAACGGGAACTGTGGTTGGTTGTGTAGTAACGGGAACTGTGGTAGGCTGTGTCGTTACAGCGACTGTTGTCGGTTGAGTTGTCGTAGTAGGAGGTAATGTTGTCGTCGGAGTGACGTCACATCCAATTAGCTCCATCCTCATAGAGATGTGGTGGTTCCAGACTGTGGGGTTGATACGGACACACTTGGCGGTAATAGGGGCTGGAAGGGTCTGCGTCACCACTGAATTCTCGTCAACATTACCAGTCATCTCCTTGACAACGAAACATATTATTTTAACACATAGTTCTGCGGATATTATCTGAATAGGAACATATTTGTAAAGTGTTCTATGCTTTTTTATGTAGTATTAAATATGACTTATGATGAATATTGAAGTAAATGATTGCTTTCTCATAATATATTTTCAAATCTGCATAAAGTTAAACAATTGCATCATACTTCAAATGCAACATGTTAAACTGTTGTTTTATTATATAAGCTATGTAGTGCATGAACTCTTGTATACATTTAGTACATACATTGTACTTTATCTAAGAGAAGGAAAAGCATCTGAATGTCTGACCTTATGTCCGTATATACTCCACAAAGTATCTGTTATATAATTAAATTAATACGTTTTAGAGTGCATCAAAACATTATATGGTTTATAAGCTTTGGAAGTTGTGAACGAAATATGTAATACAATTATGAACAAATGAAACATCATTAAGCCTGAAATATTCCAAGTACTGACAATAATTTGAGGAGATATATTATGCTATGAGGAATTGGCTGTAGAACTTTGTCATATAGTATAGTATACATGTATTGCTCCTTCTATAGGAAAACGTGGTTCTTTGGTTGCCTGAGATTATTTTTGTCCCTGGAGGGTGACATGATGTTTTATTTCCCGAACATGTGCTCGATATAATCCAATCAGACACGCTGTGATAAAGCCGAGGTACAATAATAAGGTTTAATCCACTCAGTTCGGTTGGAAAAGAAAGTATTTTTTTAAACCCTTTTAAATTAAACTTCCCATGACAAGATTCGACGAGTTGAATGAAATATGGTAGTGTGTTTGACAAATGTTTAAACAGTTCATTCAGAAGCCTAGATAATGGACTTCAAATTGACTGGAAGTGATTGTAACAAGAGGCCCAATGGTCCTGAATCGCTCACCTGGTATTAATCTAACACTTGTAATCTTAAAGTGGACTAATATACAGCTAAAGGCAAAATATCTGTGTTCGATTGATTATAATCTAATTAATGATATAAACATATGACGCCTGTGACCTTGAAAGTCGTACAGGGACATTAAGTTGAACAGAGTTTATAGCCTGCCGTCCCAGCATGCTTCTGGCCAAATTTAATTACCCTGGACCTTTTGAATATTCAGAACAAGTCATTTAAAGATTTAAACAAATTTGTTCACTGTAACCTTGAATATGAGCGAAGGTCATCAATTAAACAAACTTGGTAGCCATTCATCCCAGCATCTAACTGGCAAAATATCAGAACCCTGGCCTCTTGGTAATTCAGAAGAAGTCATTTAAATGTTTTAAACATATTTGACCCCTGCGACCATGAATATATGTCAAGGTCATTCTTTAGAACAAACTTGTTTGCCCTTTCACTCAGCATGCTACTGGCCAAATACCATCATCTTATGCCTCTTGGTTATTAAGAAGAAGTTGTTTAAGGTTTTAAACGTATTTGACCCCTGTGACCTTGAACACGGATGAAGGTCATTTGTTTGAACAAACTTGGTAGCCCTTCATCCCAGCATGTTACTGGCCAAATATCATCATCCAAGTGCTCTTGGTTATTGAGAAGAAGTTGTTTTAAAGGTTTTTAACATAATTGAACTCTGTGACCTTGTAAATAGGCGAAGGTCATTTGTTTTAGCAAACGTGGTAGCCTTTTATCTCAGCATGCTCCTGGCAAAATATCATCATCCAAGTCCTTTTGGTTATTGAGAGGAATTTGTTTTAAAGGTTTCAAACATATTTAATCCCTGTGACTTTGAAAATGGATGAAGGTCATTTGATTGAACAAACCTGATAGCCCTTTATCCCAGCATATTACTGGCGAGATCTCATCACCCTAGGCCTCTCGGTTATTCAGAAGAAATCGTTCGAAGAGTTTAACATAATCGACCCCTGTGACCTTGAAAATGGATGAAAGTCATTTATTTGAACAAACTTGGTAGCCCTTGATTCCAGCATGCTACTGGCCAAATGTCATCATCCTAAGCCTTTTGGTTACTGAAAAGAAGTTGTTTAAAGTAAAAAGTTGACGCCGAACAGACGGACGACGGACGCCACGCCGCTCTATGGCAGAAGCTCACTTGCCCTTCGGGCAGGTGTGCTAAAAATGGAACCCACAGTTCCAGTAAGCCTTACCTGTGGTAATGTCTGCCAGGTCTGACAGTCGTCGCTGTATTGGACTTTGTATTTGGTTACCCACTGTTTGCAACAGCCATTACGACCCTGTGTGGAAATAGCACTGATGTCCTTTGGACTGGGAAACTCGACCTGCAATAATCAGCATTCAACGAATGTGTGGACCGTAAAGTGGCGTCCTCCAATACACAAAACAACAAATGAAAAACCATATGTTATTGACAAGCATTTGCATTTATATTTTGATATAACATTTTTTATGTTGAGTGTCACATTGTATTAAGAAATCTTTAAATGTCGAATTTACTTTTTTAAGATCTGTGGCGTTATTAGTAATGTCCGCTGATACTATATTACTAGTGTCAAGATATATTTACACAGTAACACTAATCTTTGGTTGATGATCTCATACCTAATTTTCAAAATAAAATCTGAATTTGACTGTAGTGCAAGGTCATTTGAAAGGAGATATGAATAAAGAAATTTATTTACAAAATAGTATGCTTTCCAAACCAATGGTCACGATTGATTAATGAAAGAATGTGTGGAAAACAATTCAGTATATTATCTGCACCATAAAAGATTTTTTTTTTTTTTTTGCTTTTCATAATAGTATCGTATTGTAGGTGAATCTATCAGATATTCCGTTTTTCTAAACGTCAAAGTGTTCCTGATTACCATTAATCTTGTTTGTATCAAGCGTCCAGCAGACCTGCACTAAATGAGGATATATTTCTGATAACCACAAACCTGGACGTATTGTTTAGTATCGAGCGTTCCAGCAGACCAGGCCCCGATGAGGACATGACCTGATGCATCTCTGTCTTTCTTCGCGTTCAGAAATGCACGAGAAGGACCATATATATGATTTGTGTCGCTTGTTCCGTATTCAGAAGAGGCTGTAACCGTAACCCCAGGCTTTGGTGTGGTTCCACTATCAAACACGAGCTTATCCGTACACGGCGCTGAAAGAAAGATGTACACAATCAAGCAAAACCGTACAATAAAAAGATGTGTGATACATTGATTCCTTATTTCTACCACCATACGCTGTGTAATTCCACTCTCAGATCATTGCATAAACATGCAGACTGTTGAATAAATATGAGTTATACACCACACGTGGTATATGACCTTCCATAGTTTTGATTGGTCGAGAAGATGAACCTTGACCGGACGACTTTTTCACGCGCTATTTGCCGCGTGCTGTTTTGTTTACGTCCTCTGCTGTCAACATCCGGCAAATGTTGCTGACTTTTGTGAGGTTATGCGATGGGTAAAAGGGATGATGCTTAAAGATTTGATCGCTTGTTTCAGTCAAAATTGCTACAGACGCTCGATATCGTTTCGACGCCATACCGTCGTGTGTCCAGGTCGTGAAACCCAGAGACGTAATATATATATGTCTCTGTGAAAAAACAAGATCTGTAACAGTGTCGGAAAATAGTTCGCTCTCCCCATGTCCCGTTATCAATATGTTGAGGGCCTGTCTATAGCGAAACTCTCACTATAAATGTCAATCATAGAACCTCACGAAGAAACGTCCCAGTTTGGACATTGACAGCGATTAGTTCGTCTTCATCACTTGGCGGGAGGCAGACTTCGTACGATATGCTTACACGCATATAGTCCATGGTTAATTTATATTAATTAATGCAATATTGCATACTCTCAATATTTAAAGTCGTTCATCTATTTTATTTTTTGACGAAGTTGTTGCCGAAACATTAATTTTGAAATTATTAAATTTGTGAAAAAAGTAGTTTTTGAATATTAATGAGTGACTTTTTACATATGGGTCATATCACTACGCCAGCCTTGTCAACAAAATGTGTGTATGCTATTCAAATCAGGAAATACTCCAGCTGTTTCCGACAGAGATTGTGGTAAAAACAGATCACACGACTCGTGGTTGTTGAGTATGGGATTTATTTCACTCTCGTTAGTTAATTTTCAAAAGTTACAGAAAAACACTCGCTAAAGCTTGTGTCTTTTGTAACTTTTGAAAATTAACCAACTCGATTTAAATAAATACCCTATTCAACAATCACTTGTTGTGTAACCTCTATGTATCACATTCGTTCTAGAGATTTACATTGATGTCCAAGACAGTTTCTTGTCAGAAGACAAAATGTGACTACGTTGCAAGAGGAATTAACAATATACATATAATGAAGCTGATGTATTTATCCTTTTGTGTTACCTATTTATAAGATCTGACCTTTAATTTGTTTACTCATAAAAATAAAACTGGTTTTTAAATGCATTTAATGAATGAACATGTACCGATTTGTGCAGCCGACAACTGTTTCAAATGACTAGATAACCAGAACACTATTTAACGTTTAGATTCGGCCTAACATTGTGGTGTAAGATATGTATGTTGCACGTGACTTCCATTCAGCTGATGGTATTGAACGTGTACACTTTGTTCTTTTTATTATTTTTATTATTATATGGAAAGTCTACAACGCAAAAACAATATGTTATACTAGGTCGTTTACAGTTTTGAAAAATTAGGTATAGCAGTAATTTACTGACTATAGCATGCAATTTAACAAACGATCTTGTGAGATAAGGTTATACATTGTATCACATTATAGAAAGACAAAGGTTTTCCTCAGTGAAATCAGGCTAATGCGTCTGTTTTTGAATGGTAATGGCTATGTTTTGGTAAAAGAGACTGTTTGTATTTATTCAAAATTCAAATTCAAAGTTCGAAAAACTTAAACATTATTATGAAAATAGCTTCGTGTCGCTTAAGTGCTGAAGTAGCATTTGGTACAACCCTTGTTTTATATGATATATATCTTAACATATATACGTATATCGAATCTATATTAAGAGAACATTATTATCACCGAACTAGACCAACGTTTTTTTGAGTTAATTTCGTCTTCTAATAGGACTACCATTCAGATAAGGGCTGTTTAAAGTGAGTAGGAAAAAAACACCATTTAAATCAATTAGGTGTAACGTCTGCCCTGCTGTTGTGGAATATGTTTTACTTTTCTATATTTACCTCTAAGCAGTATACTGCATAACAACACAGATCTTTCTAAATGCAATTTATTTATAACACAAACTATTTATGTCTATTGCAAAATGAAGACGAAAAAATATGAATCATTGTAACACCATATATAAAAAAAAAGTGACAAGTAGAAAGAATGAACATAGAAATAGTTTTTACCAATAATTGCGAATATAAATGAAGCGTTAATTTGTCGATTAGTTGGCTCAGAGAGTGTACGCAAATTTGATGAAAGGATTGATGGCAAGCTTATCATACACAATATAACAATGTCCGGACCTCAATATAAACCTATGCTGTTGTATTTCTATTCTACAAATATGACATTAAAACCAGGTAAATTAGAAAGAATAGTGAACATTAGGGGTAAATATGGGGGGATATCGACCAGAAATATACCACAATGGCAATGACAATATTTTATATAATATATATAAAAACGAGAACACATTCCTAAACATAAACAAATAGATTGAAGAGTAAGAGTTGTAAACATTTGCCTGACATTCTCTCTCTTTTTTTGGCAAATGTTTTACTGAAAATATAGAGATATTAATTAACACAACAGTCGATATCAAACAACGAAATAACGTTAAATAAGGAAAACATTATAAAGGAAATGCAACATCACAACAGATATATGTATTTCATTAATACGATTATACTCTAACAACAAAATGGGTAATCTGACTGACCAAAACAACAATAATGAGGAACAAGACACAGAAACCATTTTCAAAAGCATAAAATAACCAGTTGACATATATACAGTGTTGCCTCTGGATCAGAAAGGTGAACTTAATAAAGTGACAAAGTCCACATTTTTGTACACCAATCAACGTTAGAGACATTAGTGGAAATTACTGTAGAAATAATAACTAGTGAGTGCTCTAACATGCCAAAAACATTCTAATAGTCGTACTTAGCTTGTTAATCTCTCAGGTGTCTTTATATCTTACATAAATATTCATCATTTGAAATAATTAACATTTATATTACGAAATACAATAGGACCTGAAAAAGGAAGAATATATCATCTTTGCTGGATAATAGAGATAGTAAGAGTGGTCAAGTAAGTGAAAATTAAGACAATAAAATAAAAGTAATGGTTATAAAAAAACATATAGGTAATAAGAGATTATCATCTTTATTGTGTGTTGTGGTCAGCCCAGCCCCAGACATATATGTATGTTACATTTGTACTTCATTACATACGTACAATGTATATAATTGATATATAATGGCACAGCAAGTCAAAAATAGGTATCGATCAAAATACAAAGTAAGACACAACTTTTTTAAAAGTTAAATGTTTGTCAATGAAGAAAGCCAAGTAAATTAAAAATCTGACAGAAACATTTAGGACTCATCAGTGGAACATGTACGTAAGGTCAAAAGTATGACAATCCAATACAGGAAAAAGGAAAGCTAGGCTTAAAAACCTTTCAAATTATAAGACGTTATCAGGATACAGGATAATCTGAACCTAAATAAATTTAAGACCTCATTACAGACTAAACATAACCAGTGCTTCTGTATCAGTTTCCTTTATAGCATATTAACTAGAATTTAGTGTAACTTATTTCAATGCAAGTACTGATATAATGCATAGAAGCACCATGAAGTCTTATGCAGATCTTGGCAATTTATTACGCATATGTTTCGACACTTTTACCTGCTTTACGTAAGCATCTGTTGATACTACAAGTAGACTAGACATTTACAAAAAGCTTATGTATAATGTGTTTCTGATGGATTTATAAGCTCATCGTTCCGTTAGCTATCTGAACCCGAGGTTGCGTTTTCTCCTACATATGGGAGGATCACTCAATTAACAGTCTGTACCGGAGCTGGGTAATCTCGCGGTAATCTCGCGGTGCCTGCCATCTGATGGGAGGACTGTTAGGCTTGTCACCTCGTGTTTGTGCTACTTGGGTAAGTAGGACATTGAGGCGCCTTTAATGAATACACTACCAAACACCTGTTTTTTTATTTGATGAAAAGAAACACAATAATTAAATCGCGAGAAATAAGACTATGTTAAGTCATAATAGATAACATGAGTGTATTTGTTGACTTTGTTGATGACGAAACGATTGGTTTGTTTAATTTCGTGCAGCAAAGTATGTGTTATAAATTACGGACACTTGATCCGTGGAAGTTTCTCCATAATACTGTTAGGCTTCTACAAGGGAAGAACATTGCCGTGATACCTTGTTCAGATTCGGGAGAAGAACATCACTGCTGTATTCTACTGCATGCTTTCGTAAGAGGCGTTTTATGTAAGGGCCATGTAAAACCAGGTGTTTTATGTAAGGGCCGTGTAAAACCAGGTGTTTTGTGTAAGGGCCATGTAAAACCAGGTGTTTTATGTAAGGGCCGTGTAAAACCAGGTGTTTTGTGTAAGGGCCATGTAAAACCAGGTGTTTTATGTAAGGGCCGTGTAAAACCAGGTGTTTTGTATAAGGGCCATGTAAAACCAGGTGTTTTCGTTTTGTATTCTACTTCGGGAACATTGATGATGACCAAATTAATCTACGTTCCTTAAATCAACACTTGGGACCTTTATTTGTATTCCTCCTGTCTACTGTTTCTATATAGGGATGTCTTCCCACTCACTTGATGTTGTTGGGCGTGAAATTCCAAACACATGAAATAAATGTTAATTTATCATGTACCTGTGTGCTCAGTAAATATGACAGCAATGGTAATGCAGCCAGGGATCTGACGTCAGAAAAAGCTGTGGCTAACTTTGGTGACATGATGGTGGACAAGTTCCTCCCAGTACAAATGAGTGAACGTCTGAAATCAGTTTTTATATGTTTTAAATTAGGTCAAATTATGGCTTTCACCTAACCATCGCTCACCACAACCCCACCTCTTAGATAATAATACAGCTTTTATTTTACTTTATTGTTTTAAGAGTACCTT